AAACTAATCCTCTGACTGATTATCACGTAATGCTCTTGCCTTATTATCAAAATGGAGGGGCTTTAGGTTTTTATGTTAAATGACTGATTTGTGTGGACTTTAAGAATTAAGAACTAGGAATGAGTGTTGTTATCCAGAGTATCTAGAACAGATTACACTGGATTGGGGGTGAGAGAAATGGGCAGAGAAAGAGAGAGAGAGAGAGAGAGAGAGAGAGAGAGAGAGAGAGAGAGAGAGAGAGAGAGAGAGAGAGAGAGAGAGAGAGAAAGAGAGAGAGAGAGAGAGAGCGAGAGAGAGAGAGAGAGAGAGAGAGATAGAGGCTGAACACCTAGAATAATGAGTGGGTTTTTAAGGGAATCTGTTAAGTTAAACTGGGGTGTGATCTCAACTAGAGGTCAGCTATAGATTTCTCTAACAGGCCTCACCCATAGCGCGTTTCTGTGACAGATCTTTACTGCAATGAGTGACTGTTCCAGACATATTTTTACAGCATTCCTTTGTCCGCTTCAGAGAGAAACAACATCCCGTTGGGTCTTCCCTGCGTCTGTCTGGTACACTGCCACGTTAAGCATTCAATTTGCTCAATCGTTTTAATTGCTGTGTGCAACTGATAAAACATGAGAGAACAAACGTTTTCACATCACTGTTTTACAGGCCTGTGTGTTCTGTCATGCATCAAGATAGGCACTCGGATGAGTTGATGAAATATTCGTAACGCTACACATTTTATTTGCATGAGGTTAGGCCCCAGCAGTCGCACATTACTTCATCAGACAACTTCAATTTTCTCATTAACTGTTCTTGCTTCACCATTTAATGCGCTTCCTTGGCTTCCTAAATGTTTCATGAGTTTTTAAGTTGTTTTCCAGCAAAGCCTGCTGTACTCATACAAGCTTTGCATCTTCCACCTTTGTACTCACAAAATCAATTAATTCTCCTAAATAATTTACGTTCTGAGCAAACCAGGTTAAGCAGAGCACAAATCTTTGTGTCAGGCATTAATTAGGCCCCTCTGGCTCCGTATGGTCTTGGGTGATTAGAGGACTAGGGTTAGGGTTAGGACTAGGGTTAGGGTTAGGGTTAGGGTTAGGGTTAGGGTTAGGGTTAGGGTTAGGATTAGGATTAGGATTAGGGTTAGGGTTAGGGTTAGGGTTAGGGTTAGGATTGGGGTTAGGATTAGGGTTAGGGTTAGGGTTAGGGGAGTCTTGATAAAGCAATAGAGTGCAACACACACACACACACACACACACACAGAAAGAGCGGGAACCAGGGTCTAGGATGATGCATTTACACACATCAATTTTTTATGAAACAGACTCCTAACAATTATTCCCTCTTACCGCCTGGTTAATCTTAGCATCTCTGTGATGACCATGACATCACTTTTAAAAGTTAAAAAACTGACGTTCTCGTCCGTTTTCATTGAGAAAACATCAGCAGGCCTAACACTCTGCCTGACCAGAGAAAGAAGAGCAGTAAATAGAGAAAAAAATAATGGAAAAAAAGACACCGCCCCGCCCCGCCCCCCTTCCTTCTCTATGTCTAAACCTCAAGGTCAAGATGACAGAGTAGCCACCAGTCAACCTCCAAATTCCCTGGATTCCTAATAGCCTTGCTTTGAGCTGAGCTGTTACGTTCACTTCAGGAATGTTCTGTCCTGTTCGGTTGTGACGGCCAGACAGACTCAAGGTCAGGGTGTTGTCGTCGAGCTGTTTGTGCTTATCTGTTTTCACTCGTTTTTTTTTTTTCAATCCCTTTTTCCATCAGTAGGTCGTAGCCGACAGGATGATGCCTAGGGGTGGGGGTGACAGTAGATATGCCGGCATCTTATCTGTCACTCATTTGTCACTTTTGTCATAATCCCTGATTTGAGCAGCAGACTAGGCCTATAGTTTGCATGCCACGGAGCGCTCATGTTTTTATCCTATTATTTTTTTATGGCGCAGGAGTGGTATTTGCTCCATATGAACCATTTGTGCTAGAGTTGTTTTTGTTGTTGTGGCAGTATGTCCATATGTTGTGTATTGATATTGTCATAGTGAAGATTAATTTGGCCTTAGACCTTTACTTAGAAATCCCTAAATATCCCCAAAATGCTGTTGTTTGAAACAATCGTTAATATAGAATTTAAAAAATCATTACATTTAGGCTACCCAATGAAACTAACTTTTGGCTTGTTTAATATGGATTTGAGAAGTATGACTATCTGTATAGTAGGTAACCCATGCTCAGTCTCCTCTCTCTCTCTCTCTCTCTCTCTCTCTCTCTCTCTCTCTCTCTCTCTCTCCCTCTCTCTCTCTCTCCCCCGCCTCTCTCTATCTACTCTCTCCCTCTCTCTCTCTCTCTCTCTCTCTCTCTCTCTCCCTCTCTCTTTCTCTCTGGCACTAGCTGCAGGAGATGGCATTCTACCTGTGTTGATCCATGGGGTTGATCCAGTCGCTAGCTCCTGGTCAATGCTTGCACATAAACTGTGTGTGTATGTTCCTTTGTTTACAATATGCCTAACCACCGTCCATTTGTCTGCAACTTTTGACGATTACATAAGAATCATAGATTTCCAGTTCGGATGTGAAAGCCCTGTAAATTTCACAGCTTAATTTTTATAGGCAGAGAGAATTGACTAAATTGTCAGGCTGTTATGAATTTGGCATAGAGCTGAGAGTCTGAGGGTAGCTCTCAATAGTAATCCTGGTGTGTGTGTTTGTCTTGAAGACGTTACAGTGGCCTGACTCTAACATCTCTGTCATCCCCTTACATCATAATTACATTAATATTGACAGGCCCCTGACAATAGCTACATTACTATTGATAGCCGGCTGTCAATATTGTGTTCCCAAATAACATATTCATTAATAACTTCTAAACTGCTCAATAACAATACCAGGCCAGAGGGATTCTCTCAAGAGGGAGCGAGAGAGGGAGGGAGTTGGAGAGGACGAGAAGGAGAGAGAGAGAGTGAGAGAGAGAGATGAGAGAGAGAGAGAGAGAGAGAGAGAGAGAGAGAGAGAGAGAGAAAAGGATGGAAAGGGAGAGAGAGACAGACAAAAGGATGGAGAGGGAGGGAGGGATGGAGAAAGAGAGGGAGAGAGGGGAGGGAGGGAGATATTTCTCACACCTGGCACTGTGTGGCTGTATGGCCTAGCTGCTCTCACAGTCTCACGTCAGAATTTGACGTTCATCCATGTTTCTCAAACGTCAAATTTAGAAGTTGTTCCAAACGTTAAATTTCAAAGTGTTTAAGGTTAAGTTTAGGAATTAACTCAGAATGTTAAGGTTAGTCTTAAGTTTAGACATTAACTCTGAAATCTTAAGGTTAGGCATTAACTCCGAATGGTGAAAGTAAGGGTTAAGGTTTGGTATAGCCTTAAAACAGAAAACTCAAAAACAACTTTCTATCACTGGATTTGAACTCAGAACCTTTGGAATCAGAGGCAGACGCTTATGCCCATCCACCATCCCCGTCCCCAGCCCCAGCCCCAGCCCCAGCCGCAGCCGCAACCCCAAAACCTTACTTGAAGGTTACACTACTCACTGTTGCCCCTAACAGCCGGTTTCCAAGTCATCTCCTGACGTCCTCAGACATGGATGGACGTTGAATACTGACTTGTATAACGGGTGACCTTGCTGGTATGGCACTGTATGGCATTGTGCGACTGTATGGCACTGTATGGCACTGTATGGCGCTGTGCGGCTGTATGGCACTGTATGGCACTGTATGGCACTGTATGGCATTGTGCGGCACTGTATGGCACTGTACGGCACTGTACGGCACTGTATGGCACTGTGCGGCACTGTGCGGCACTGTATGGCACTGTACGGCACTGTACGGCACTGTGCGGCACTGTATGGCACTGTATGGCAGTGTATGGCACTGTATGGCAGTGTATGGCAGTGTATGGCACTGTATGGCACTGTATGGCACTGTACGGCACTGTGCGGCTGTATGGCTTATCTCGAGCTATGCCCCGCCCTGACACACACACACCGAAGCAGGCACGGCATGTGAGGGTACTACGCCTATACCAAGGACTTATTTTGCTATGTCGCCTAAACAGTGTGACATAACAAATTAGAAATTACATGTGGAGTATTTTGATATAAACCTACTTATTTCTTAGCAAATTCCACCTACATCATTCATTTTCTAACTGGGTGATACTGTATCGTCTCAAGTCTGTAGAAACGTCATGAATGTAGGTTGTTTTTCTGGACCAAAATAAAGTTTAAGCACTGCAGTGCTGCTTATTACAGTGCAACTGGGTCTACTGTAAATGTCACTGCTGACCCCTTTCAGTCAAAGCTGCCATATTTCCATTCCAGAGCTGAAATCTCTTAAAGCCACATATCAAATCCTGTTCACCACAGTACAAAGGTCTCTGTAGGGATGGTCTCTCTCTATCCCTCTCTCTCTCTCTCCTTCAGCCTTCCATTTATAAACCATTTCATTTGGGGTGGGTGGAAGAGAGAGAGATAAACTAAGAACGATACAAATGTGGTCTCAAACAGACACACACAGATACAAGCAGTGAGGCATCATCCAGACGTCACAGTGGTGCGATCCAATATAGAGTGCTCCGGGGAGTAAAGCAGTTCCACATTGGTGGATGGTTACGGTGTAGCCGAGACTGTGCCGTTAGGCTAATCCCTGTTGATGTGATTTGTCCGCACACCCCTATCTCAGCTAAGACCCTGAGTGTGTGTGTGTGTGTGTGTGTGTGTGTGTCCATGTGCATCTTAAGACCCTCTGTGCTTTCACATTGCAACGCTCAAATGCCACATTTAGGATGGGTTTTACATGTGAAAAGTGATTTCAGCTCCAATGTAAAAATGCATAATAGGATGGACTCGTCTTAAGTCTGGTCCCTCTCAAGGTTTCTTCCTTCCAAGACAGTTTATTATTGCCACTGCTGCCTCTGCTTGCTCTTTCTTTGGGGATTTAGGCCTACAGTATTATACTGTGGAGCACCTTGGATAAATCCATTAATTACAAGTACAATTAGACTCTCATCATCATCATCTTCTTCTTCTTCTTCTTCTTCTTCTTCTTCTTCTTCTTCTTCTTCTTCTTCTTCTTCTTCTTCTTCTTCTTCTTCTTCTTCTTCTTCTTCTTCTTCTTCTTCTTTTCCAGCCCCCACCAGAGGGAGAGGCTCAGTTTCAGCTCCAGACCCCCAGACTCCTGTCCTGAGGATCAACCAGCTGGATGCCTTTGAGCTGTAATCTGCTCTGGACCAGCTGGTGTGGTGGAACCAGTTCTCCCATTGTTTCCAACACTTCTGCCCAGGCCTGCTCACCCCTGTGGAGCCTGAACTCAAGGCCCCGCTCCAGCTCCTGCCCTGGAGGTTCACAGTCTAACCCAACAGTGCTATGGTGGGCCAATCTATGATGAACCTCTGCTACCACAACACTCTGTCACTATCCCAGCGCTGCAGGGCCCTGAGCAGGAGACAGAGGTTGGGCCCTGCTGACCATCGGTCTCCGCTGGCTGACAGAGCAATCCAACAGCCTGCTCCTCTCCCTGGGGTTGGGGATGGGCGGTGGTCCCCTGGCTGATAGAGGTCTGCATCTGGGGCTGCGTCGAGCTCTCTCTCTGATCACCAGCCTTACCCAGGTAGGGTCATGAAGTAAAGTCATGAAGTGCAGGTCTGAGTTATGATTGGCTTGCTGCTTCCTCATCCCGCCTCTCTCTCCCCCAGGTAGCCAATCTGATCAACTTCCTGGTGTTCCTGAGGAAGGGGCGCCACCCGTCTCTGACAGAGAGGATCCTGGGTATCCGGGCAGTGTTCAGTAAGCCCCAGGTGGTCCGGGGTGTAGCCTTCCAGTACATGAACGGAGAACTGCTGTGGTACAGCTTTGCTGAGTTCCTCATCTTCCTCCTCCTTCTACTCAATGTGAGGAAGATCAAGTCAACCATGGAGGTGGTGAGGGAGGGGAGGAGGGGGTGAGGGAGGGGAGGAGGGGGTGAGAGAGGGAAGGAGGGGGTGATTGAGGGGAGGAGGGGGTGAGAGATGGCTCAGGGGTGTGGAAGGAGTGTTGTCTGTGGTGTAAAGTACTTAAGTAAAACAACTTTTAAGTACTACTTCAGTAGTTTTGGGGGGTATCTGCACTTTACTATATTTATATATTTTTTACCTCTTTTACTTCACTACATTCCTAAAGAAAATAATGTACTTTTTACTCTTAACTCCTCCTCCACATTTACTGGATTGGTTGAACAGTGCAGAAGAGAACCTCCCCCTGACAGTTATTTTTTTCTCGTCAGGACCAGAAAGAAAGAAATGCCGCTCAGGCGTTTCTTTTACACCTGCTACTTTAGGTTACTGTGAATGGACTTCAATACACTGTGTGTACAGACTTATAAAAATGACATTTACACACACATGCACATACACACGCACATAAACCCCTACAACTCATCCAGAATGCCGCAGCCCGTCTGGTGTTCAACCTTCCCAAGTTCTCTCACGTCACCCCGCTCCTCCGCACACTCCACTGGCTTCCAGTTGAAGCTCGCATCTGCTACAAGACCATGGTGCTTGCCTACCGAGCTGTGAGGGGAACGGCACCTCCATACCTTCAGGCTCTGATCAGTCCCTACACCCAAACGAGGGCATTGCGTTCATCCACCTCTGGCCTGCTGGCCCCCCTACCTCTGCGGAAGCACAGTTCCCGCTCAGCCCAGTCAAAACTGTTCGCTGCTCTGGCACCCCAATGGTGGAACAAGCTCCCTCACGACGCCAGGACAGCGGAGTCACTCACCACCTTCCGGAGACACTTGAAACCCCACCTCTTTAAGGAATACCTGGGATAGGATAAAGTAATCCTTTACCCCCCCTTACCACACCCCAAAAAAATTATAAAATTAAAAACATATTGTAAGATGGTTATCCCACTGGCTATAAGGTGAATGCACCAATTTGTATGGCTATAAGGTGAATGCACCAATTTGTAAGTCGCTCTGGATAAGAGCGTCTGCTAAATGACGTAAATGTAAATGTAAATGTACATACACACGCACATACACGCACAAATGGTCTCAGAGGGCCCCTTTAACCGAGCAAGGTTTCTTTATTTGAGATATTCTGGGTGACAATGGAAACAGCAAAGACAGGATGATGATGACTTAGATTGTGTGTTGTATGAGCACACAGGGCCTGTCTGTCCATGTATAATGTATGTGAGCACACTGACCGTCCTGCTCCTGTGGTCCCTCCATTCCTACTGTTAGACTTTGGACAGGACTGTTTGTTCATGCCGCTCTGAGTGACTGTGGAGAAACACAGAGCATGTATTTGATGAAGGACGTGTTGATTCTGCCCCAAAATGGCCTTGTGCTGCTCTGTTCTATTCAAAATGGGAATATTTGTTCTGATGAAAAATGCAGAAACTTGACTGACAGACTACTAAATAATGGAGGAATTTCTGATGTTGCTCATCACCGTTAACGATGTTAGCATCCGTTTGTATTTTTGCCTAAATTCTGTTTCTACATCATTGCAATGTAATCAATTTAATTGATGCTCAAATAATGTTCACACATAATGTTACCTCATGGGTGTTTCTTATGTTTTAAGTCAAGAGAGAAATGAAGGAAAGTTATAGTTATTAATATTATAGTTATTAATATACACACTTTTCTCCCTCTCATTCCAACTCCCATTATCCCCTTTCACACCACCAACAACAGGCAAAAGATCAAGGGGCCAGCCAGGGGCTCGGATTAGAGAACATCACACACACACACACACACACACACACAAAGACACACACACAAAGACACACAGACACACACACGCAAACACATACACGCACAGAAATAATCTTGGTGGGCCTCTCCCTATAAATCAGGCTGTAAACTGTAGCAAACCCCTGGCAGCCTCTTGGTTCCTTGCAGGCGAATCACTGCCTAATCCCTGTAATGACTTAAAAAATGCTTATTTATGCTGGAGTTAACCTCCTCCAATGACCCCCGGGCCAAACATAACCAGCCCAGTGAGACCTTTCCTGGGCTGGCGGAGAGCAGAGATCACCTCCTCTGGATGACCACTGGAGCTTAATTGCTGATTGCAGAGGCGATCAATCAGGACTGTAGGCGAGATGGGGCCTTGCGGAGAGTGCCGGGTTTGGTCTGGCTGGTTCATACACAGACACACACAGACTGCATAATTTATTTTGAGGTCTGTTTGGTTTGGTATAGCTCACACAAACTCTAGTTAGTACATATCCCAACTGGTTCCCTTCTGATGGAGTTGATGAAATTGGTTTTACACAAAGAGAATATTCTGTGTTTCTTGGCTTGAAGGCGTTTGCCAATGAGATCAATACACAGAGGGATTCTACAGTATTTACTGATGTTCATGTTAATTATAAAAATGCCTGACCACCATGCTTTTATGCTGCCTCTGATTCGGTATGTTTGAGCTTGTGTTTGTGAGCATGAGTGTATATTTGCGTGTCTGAGCATGCCTCAAATACCTGACCTGGGATGATTTTAATGAATTAGAAGACAGAACCTCATTATCTTTCACATTATTATAGATAGACAGGATGCCATGGTTCAGGATTAGGAAAATAAATCTCATCAATCACAGGTAAACTCCTGCTTCATGGTAGGCCTATATGGAGGCCATCGGAGAGGCATGTACATGTGAGGGACTTGATATGGAGAAGCATAGGGATCTGGTTAAGGTGTTGGCTTGACAGTTGCTGGACCTGGGTCGGGGCTACCCCCTGAATTCACTACTATATGCTTAATAGGCTATCTACACTGCTCAAAAAAATAAAGGGAACACTAAAATAACACATCCTAGATCTGAATGAATGAAATAATCTTATTAAATACTTTTTTCTTTACATAGTTGAATGTGCTGACAACAAAATCACACAAACATTATCAATAGAAATCAAATGTATCAACCCATGGAGGTCTGGATTTGGAGTCACCCTCAAAATTAAAGTGGAAAACCACACTACAGGCTGATCCAACTTTGATGTAATGTCCTTAAAACAAGTCAAAATGAGGCTCAGTAGTGTGTGTGGCCTCCACGTGCCTGTATGACCTCCCTACAATGCCTGGGCATGCTCCTGATGAGGTGGCGGATGGTCTCCTGAGGGATCTCCTCCCAGACCTGGACTAAAGCATCCGCCAACTCCTGGACAGTCTGTGGTGTAACGTGGCGTTGGTGGATGGAGCGAGACATGATGTCCCAGATGTGCTCAATTGGATTCAGGTCTGGGGAACGGGCGGGCCAGTCCATAGCATCAATGCCTTCCTCTTACAGGAACTGCTGACACACTCCAGCCACATGAGGTCTAGCATTGTCTTGCATTAGGAGGAACCCAGGGCCAACCGCACCAGCATATGGTCTCACAAGGGGTCTGAGGATCTCATCTCGGTACCTAATGGCAGTCAGGCTACCTCTGGCGAGCACATGGAGGGCTGTGCGGCCCCCCAAAGAAATGCCACCCCACACCATGACTGACCCACCGCCAAACCAGTCATGCTGGAGGATGTTGCAGGCAGCAGAACGTTCTCCACTGCATCTACAGACTCTGTCACGTCTGTCACATGTGCTCAGTGTGAACCTGCTTTCATCTGTGAAGAGCACAGGGCGCCAGTGGCGAATTTGCCAATCTTGGTGTTCTCTGGCAAAAACTCCATGAGGGCCCTCATACCACCCTCATGGAGTCTGTTTCTGACCGTTTGAGCAGACACATGCACATTTGTGGCCTGCTGGAGGTCATTTTGCAGGGCTCTGGCAGTGCTCCTCCTGCTCCTCCTTGCACAAAGGTGGAGGTAGCAGTCCTGCTGCTGGGTTGTTGCCCTCCTACGGCCTCCTCCATGTCCCCTGATGTACTGGCCTGTCTCCTGGTGAGTTCTTACTATACCAAGAGCATTTCAGTAATGAATCTCACAGTGATAAAGCCATAGAAAGGTTGGTTGTTGTCAATATTTCATGTTATGCCTACACATCATAGCCTAGGCCAGGGGTACTATTTGAGAAGGTCCAGTCACACAAATGTCCTAGGTATAGTATTCAGACCCGTTTAACTTTTCCACATTTTGTTACGCTTCAGGCTTATTCAAAAATTATTTTTTCCCCTCATCAATCTACACACAATACCCCATAATGACAAAACAAAAACATGTTTTTAGAAATTTTTGCAAATAAAAATATAATACCTTATTTACATAAGTATTCAGAACCTTTGCTATGAGACTCGAAATTGAGCTCAGGCGCATCCTGTTTTCATTGATCATCCTTGAAATGTTTCTTTGCCTTGATGACAGCTTTGCACACTCTTGGCATTTTCTCCATCAGTCCTGTGTTCAACCAGCTTCATGAGGTAGTCACCTGGAATGCATTTCAATTAACAGGTGTGCCTTGTTAAATGTTAATTTGTGGAATTTCTTTCCTTCTTAATGTGTTTGAGACAATCAGTTGTGTTGTGACAAGGTATGGGTGGTATAGAGACGATAGCCCTATTTGGTAAAAGACCTAGTCCATATTATGGCAAGAACAGCTCAAATAAGCAAAGAGAAACGACAGTCCATCATTACTTTAAGACATGAAGGTCAGTCAATACGGAAAATATCACGAACTTTGAACGTTTATTCAAGTGCAATCACAAAAAACATCAAGCGCTATGATGAAACTGGCTCTCATGAGGACCACCATAGGAAAGGAAGACCCGGAGTTACCTCTGCTGCAGAAGATAAGTTCATTAGAGTTACCAGCCTCAGAAATTGCAGCCCAAATGAATGCTTCACAGAGTTCAAGTAACAGACACATCTCAGCATCAACTGTTCAGAGGAGACAGCGTGAATCAGGCCTTCATGGTCGAATTGCTGCAAATAGACCACTACTAAAGGACACCAATATTAAGAAGAGACTTGCTTGGGCCAAGAAATATGAGCAATGGACATTAGACCGGTGTTAATCTG